AAATCAGGGCGTGGCAGGAGTACCCACAAAAAAAAACAGTGTAGTGGGAAATTCAACGCAGAAAAAAAAGCGTGGAAAACTAAACGAAATAATGCAGGATGACAAAATAACTTAAAGCGGCAATAAATTTTCTAGCTCAAGGACATGCTTAAGGCAAGATGTAGATAAAAATGAAGAAGCTGGGGCAGCGACAGGGAAAACTGTCAACACGTTTTGGCCATTTCTGTCTACGTTTCGTTAGCCGCAAACAAAAAACAAACAAACTGAAAATTTAAAAGTCGTGGAATCTTTTTTGCTTATGACAATGAACCATTTTTTGTGGGTAGGTTGTGTTTTTTTTAAGTAAAAGGGGTGGAATTTTTATTTATGTGCTTAGTTGTGGTGGTTGGTTGTAATTCTTAAGTTGGTAGTTTTCCAAGACCAGCACAGATTTATGATGGCGTAAGCTCCAAAAAATGCGAGAAAGCTAATTGAAATAGTTTTTAAATTTTTCTTTTTAGTTTTTGATTAGAACTCTTTTTAACCTATTAAAATAAATTATTTATGATCCAGTTATACGAAAAAAATAAGTATTTCTGTTTGCTAACTTAAATATCTGAGCAAATGCATATATTTTGACTTATGTTACATAGAAAATTTTATTTTTGTTTTTATTTTCTTTTCAATTTTTTTTTATTTGTAGTTCCTGAATTTATTCTTTCAAAACTTTGCTCGTGTAACTCATTTGATATCTCCTTCTATATATATTTTCCCCTCCATATATCTTGATATCTGGGGAAGAATCGGCTCTAACCTCCCTGCTCCTGTCGCCTTCCATCTTGTCCTTATTTTGCGGCCGCCTTATTCTTGTTTGTTTGCCTTGCGTGTCCTTCGGTGGCGTATGCGTAATATGTTTTTGTTTGCCACAGGCCACGACGCTGCCGCGCCAGACACACGCCAGACAATACCTCGGCTATATACACAGATATCCATATATATTTACATATTTACATATATTTTTTTATACATACTATGTGCGTGTTGACCTTGCGAATGGCCAGCGGCTATTGAGTGTCTCCTCAGACGCCTGTGTCCCGCACAACAAAAAAGTCTTTTAATTGCTTTTTAATGAGTTGCTGCTGTCATTCCACTTGTACACAGTCGGTGGGTGGTAATGGGGCGGTACATTTTACAACGGGGGTTTTTAGGGGAGGAGACTCCTAATGTCGCCCGCCCGTCGACGGCTATAAGCATTATAAAATATATGTATCGAACAGATATCGGTATTTAAACAGAGCAATACAATTGAAAAGGGGAACTTCTTAACTTAAGAATACTGTCAATAAGATAAGATACTATTATACTGTAGATAAAGAAAAGGGAAATACGGGGAATTCCCTATATGTAAAAAATAGAGTTGAACAATAATTTATTAGTATCTAACAGTACCTTAACATTTATCGAAAACATAGCTTCGATGATTTTGAACCAATTTATTGTTCATGCCATAAGTTTTAGGTCAAATTAAAACAAAATTTTAATTATAAATGGAATTTTATCTGTACTAAATTCTCGCAATTTATTTTATTACCACATTTTATGCAGTATTATGGTGTGTATTTTTTCAACACTTTTATTTATATAGCCGCATTTTTCTTTTGCCCTAATGAAAAAAATTGCAGAGGCAGCTGCAGCAGCGCAGCTTTCATTTGATTTGTATTGCTTTTGTTGCAGTTCAGCGGCTGGCAGTTGTTGCTGTTGGCCAGGGCCACTTATGGACGGCAAAAGCTTCTAGAAAATGGGTTCAACAACCGACAAATGCAGCTAAAAGGAAAGCGGGCGGGATGTGAGGGAAAATCGGGGAGGGGACAGCACCGCCTAGGACAGCACCCGAAAAAAAAGACCCAAGCGAAAAACGAAAGGGAGAAGGGCAAAGAAGCAAATGCAAAAAATTGGCATCAAACAACAGAAACTTACATTTGATGGGGAAAGGCGGGGGGGAAAAGGGGGCGGGCCAAATGGGTTGAAAATGGAGGGCGGGGGCAAGGGACACACATGCAATGCGCATTAAAATTGTAACTGTAACGTTTCCATCTCTATCTCTCACAGTCTGGTTCTCTGGCCCCGAGGCCCACTTCATCCCTCTCCAACAGTTCCCCCACATCACCCCCTCATCTCCCTCACCCGTTTTCCATTCTTATGCCATTTCCATCTCTGGGCAAGTTAAGTGCCATTCATGCGACTCCCCTCTTCTGCTCCTTTTTTATCTGCTCTCCTTTCCAATCCTAAACTTTTTGTTACTCTTGATTTTAGTCCTTTTGCTTTTTGTTTTGACTGTTTTATTATGGTTTTTGTTGTCCCCGTCGTTTTCTTTGTACTTTTTTGAGCGCTTCATTTATTAAATATATTTTATTTGCTGAAAAATGAAATAAATGAATTTGACATTGGTATAATATTTATAAGCTTTAAAATTTGAATTTCATGGTTTTTTGTTATTTGCCAAATATAAATCCGTAATGCTGGGTTTACTTTATGCCTCTCATTACATTTTTACAATCTTTTTTTTTATTATTTAGATAAGAGCTTTTAAATAAACAAGTAATTATTTATTTTGATAATATTTTTCATCGATAACCCAGTTCCCAAATTCTGATAACAAACATCAATACGTGCAACTTTCACCGATTTTAAGTTCTGAACCAAACTGTCTATATGTATCTGAATCCCCAACAGTACCGTATCTTGTCTGCAGATTTTTATTGATTTCGATATCGTTTGTTGTATTTGCCATCAAAATTTCCTTGTCGTTTTATTGTTGCCTGTTTGGGGGCACGTTATGATTGTTGTAATTGCCGTTGCCACCAACCCGAATATGGGACTCAATTCCGTTCGATTGGAAGCCATTCGAATGGCCGAGAGTCTGGGCCAAAAAAAATTGCCAACAATCTCAGTTACAATTTTTTTCCGACGGCCTTTTCTCGCCCCTTTGTTTGCTGGTCGTTTGTGTGACTTTTGTGGTCGAAAGAGGATTTTAGTGGTTAATGTTCCCTGCTGGAGGTCAATGGTGGAGCTGTGGAAAGGGTTAAAAGGTCAACTGGCCGTGCTTGTTAAGTGAACCAATTTGTTTTCAGATAAATATCCAAGCATTCTTTTATTATGGCCGGCTGCTGTTTTCACAAAATGAAAATATTTTTATGGGACTTTTGGGCTCCTTTTACGCCGTAGTAATTGGCATAAAAAAGCTTTTTGATAAGGTGGTGATGTTGTTATTTTTTAATACTTTGAAGAAGTACAAATTAAAGTTGTTCAACATTAAAATAAATTTGCTCTTATAAGATTTTCATAATCAAAAACAATGAAATAATTTAAAATACCTACATTTTTGGACTTTCATGTTGTCCATATTATTATCAATTTTTGTATATATGTATATATATATTGTTCCATGAATTTTAATTGCATTTATGAAACTTGTTTAAGCCCAAATTTATCTTTTACCAGCCACACGTGCCTGTCGTTAAATTAATTTGGGATCATAAGTTTTTGTAGTTCGCCTAAGTGCTTTCCATAAAAAAAACTAAATTAATAAAGAACCAGATAAAGCAGAATTTCATGGCAAAGGATTTATTGGGTAAATATTGTAATATTTATGGCTTGTATGCTGATGTATGCTGTCATAAAAAAAAGAACAGAAAATGTCTCTGGCACTTACCAAAAAACACGGAAAAAATCAAACAAATGAAGACACAAAAACTCCACCACGCCCAGCTGCCTCATAAACCGCAAAATGTGTCGAGGCTCGTCATAATAATGCATATACACTAATATATGTACAGCCAACGACATGGCATTAAATCCACATGTTGTCTGGAGGGATCCCAAAAAAAATAATAAATTTGTTTTCATATTAAATTGTGTCGCTTGAAAGGCTGAAAACAAAACTGTTCTGCTGTTTCTCAAAATTTTCATGCGTGTCTAGGCCGTCCCGAAAATTCGAAAATTCCCCCGTAATTCCCATGAAATTTCGATATTTTTTGGCGCACATGCGGAACATGCAGCACAAACGCTGAAAAACTAAATTATGCAATTAATTTGCGAGCCCATCCCCAGACTCATTAGCCGAAAAACCAAATGCGCAGACCAATTTCCAAAGCATTTTATATAATATTTAATTTAGGCAGATGCGTACTCAAAATTTGTTTCTAAGGAAAAGCGATTTAGTCATTAAACTTAATCTAGATAATATTCATATGCAAGATTTCTGCCATAAATACATGGTTGATTAATTAGACTTCAAAAAACTTTAATACAAACAAATTTAATATTTAAATATGGGTTGATGTGCATCCCTTTTTTCTCTGGCTCTGAAATTATTGTGCGGTGTTGTAATGCATTTTAAATATTCCACCCTGCATATGTTTGTTTGGTTATTTACGATTTTGGCTTTGTACAGTGTTGCATTTAAATGAAATTATGATTCTGTAATCCATCTTAATGTACTTTAAATATCAACAATTATAAATTGTAAGCAAAGAAAAGTATAATCATTAAATAATAAAAATGTTACAGAGATTTTTACTGAAAATAACTGTTCCAAGTAAAATATTTAGATTTTCTGTGAATATATAGAGAATATGGCCTAAGAAATATATAGATTTCGTTTGCAGAGTATTCAGCAATCGAACGTAGAATATTGCCTTGTTTCAGTTGTTTGCAATTACATTTGCGGCTTTTCTGTCTCTGTTTGCCTTTTGTGTAAAACAAGCGCCATATGAACGTGATGCCAAAATGAGAAATATTATAATATGTACAATTAAAAATATGGAACAATATGCATACACAGCCAAGGGATGTTATGAATTAATAATTGTTTTTCAGCCGCTGTTTACCCCCTTCAAACCATGTTAACAACTACTTTTACAAAATTTACCAATTTGTATAAATAATTTTGCTTACTTTAAGGCCGTATACGATTTTCTTATAATATTATTAATGTGTTCTTTGTTTTATTTTCATTGCAGGTAAGCAAAAATCAACGATGATTACGTATACGCACGGTATGGAATTGAAGTGTAAGTGCAAGTGACAAATTCCATTTCAAATTCAATTAAGTCCCATAAGGAGTTTGTTTGTGTGCAACTGGCCGTGCAACAAGGTCAGACGTAAAAGTTTCAGTTTTATTTTCTCGTCTCAGACTTTTTTTTTTGCCTTTGGCAGTTATGCAATCCTTGCGAGGATTTCTCCCTCACGCCCGGCAAGAAGTCCATCTCCCTGGGGTCTTGGCAAGCATTCCCATATCCTGCAGTGGCCACGCCCTCGCCACCCTTTCCGCCCCCAATCCTCCCCTTTTGGCCTTTTTATGGCCACGTGCGAAAATGCGGCAAAAGTTTTACGAGGTCAGGGTGAAGATGCTGCTCCTCCAAGTTGAAGATGCTGCCGATGATGATGTCACTTCAGTGAAATAATTTGATAGAATAAAATAGTACGGAATGAGTGCAAAGGAATATGGCAAATAAATTTGCATGCATAGAAAAAAAAGTAGACAATTTTGGTCTACAAAATAAAAAGGTTGACACAAATTAAACCTTAAAATATGTTAAAATTTTCAAAAAATTTACGAAACATGTAGGCTATTTGGTTGAAGAAATATTTTCTATGTTTTTAAATACTTACATAATTTTTTTCAGTAATAGCCAATCCTTTATCTAAATTTTCCTGATTTTCATGTGATTAAATTTAGCAAACTGCAAGCTGACAGCAGTCTTTCGATTAGTTGGCACTTGTTGCCGCCTTTAACGAAAATTTTCTCCAATTCGCAAGCCAAAAGAGCCAAGAAACCAGACCAAGTCAGCAACTTTGGCAGGTCCACGCCCTAACCATTTTCACAAACGCCCCCTAGTCGCATGCAAAGTGCAGACCTCGGGGATTGTCATTCTGTCGGAGTTTCATGGTATCTCCGTCCAAATGGTGCTCTATCTGGAGCACTCAGATGGAGCGGAATTCAAGACTCACATGTCTGCTGGCCACGCTCAATTCAATTCAATTAAACGCCGGCACACGCCGCACCCAAAAGCGAGGCAACGAGAAAAAACATTTTGAAACGTTGTGAAGCCGTCTGAAGTGACAACTTGAATGCTCTAAGAAAGTTATCAAAATTCAACCGAAAAATATGAGAAAAGTTTAAAATAATTGCCACTCAGTAGAAAATGTACAAAACTTTAAAACATTAAATAAGAAAATAAAACTTTTATTTTATTAAGGAATTTATAACAAAGATTTAAAAAAAAGTGAACTTAATTTGTATAATTATTCTTGATTATAACAGCAATTTTATTTATTTTTTAAAAAGTTTTTTTTTAATATTTTGACTGTGAAATTAAAATGTTTGCCTATTAGTATAAAACGATTCAAAGAAATTTAAATAGGTAAACAAATGAACCTCATTCATATAACTAACTTAAATTATACAATTATTTAAATATTCCTAACAAATTACCTCCGGCTTTTAATTCATACCTACTTTTTGTTTAGTAAATTTAATGGTTAATAATTTAAACAAATGGTTTTGATACAAAATTTAATTGCTTTAATGTTTCAACATTTGTTGGGCTTAAAAATTTCGATGACAATCTTTATTTTTTATTTTTTAAAATATTTCCTGCACCGCTGATTCGTGTCAGCGAACCCAGAAAATCTGATTAAAACCCAACTGAAATTCAGCGAATCGTTATGCGATATCTTTTTCATTTTGTGTTCCTCCCCTTTGGTTGTTTTGCAGTTTTGTTGATTTTTTCCGAGTAAATTTCAATTGATATTTGTTATGTTTTTTTTTGTTGGTCTGATTTTGTTGCTTGTTGGTTTTTTTCATTGTGGATTGGAGAGGGCTGCAAACCTCTTTGGCATTTTTATTGGGTGTGTGTATTTGACTTACTTATTTGGGGCGTAAATGTGGGAGTGGTGGTGCAGCACTTGCCACAAATTATCCAATGGTCGGGCCAGGTTGCCATTCACTTTTCCATATTAACTTCAAGTTTTTGCCCCCAGCGGAATGGTGGGAAAAAACGTGGAAAAGCGAGAGACTGGAATGGCGGTCACTTGAGTTTTTCCCGTCTCCCACCGCGAGCTGTTCACTTTCCTCCTGCTCATTTTTTTTGTCTAGCCATCTCTTACAATTTGCCTTTGATGAGTCACAAAAAGCCGCTGCATGAGTTAAAAAAATGGGGGAAAACCCCCTTCACGTTTTTGCATTCACCCGCACTTTTCCGCCCACTTTCTCTTTCGGCTTGTGTTCTATTTGCACAACCAGGCAGCAATTAACGCTAATTATGAAATTTTCTTTTAAACTTGACTTGCAATTGTGGTCGAAAAAATAAAAGGTGGGAGAAATGGTTGTGGTTTCAGAAAACTGTGGACCTTTAATGCTAAAAAATTATAATACGACAATGGAATAATACTAATAATGGTTAAAACATATTCTTCTCACCTAAACTATCTTAAAAAACACCGTTTAATTACTTAAATTTATTCATAAGTTTTTAAAATAATCATCTGCAACCTTTTTACCTCAACATGAAAAAATCTCATAATCTCTCTCAAAAATATTAATCTGAACCTTTATGTGTTTGTGAATTTTTAATCTTATAAGTGGGCCTATAAATGCTTTCAACCATTGCAAAACATATAATAAATGTTAGTTTAACTTCTATTAAATTTACCAATTAAATTTCCCAGCTCGATTAAACTCACTTTGTAGCCCTGTAGGCAACTGAAGGTGTATAGTTACTCAGACAAACAACATGTTAATAATTGCGCATATTAAATGAGCTGGCATGCTTGATTATGAATTATGTAAATTTGTCGACAAATTTCCCGGGCAATTCAGGGCTCAAGGCCATTTTAAGCTGATAAGTTTTCCCGGTGACGTTTTGTTTGTCCAACTAATTTCTTATCAATAAAAGTAAACCACCAGGCCACACAAGCGGATGCCACAACACACAAATACGTAGAATCGTGCGGGCAAAGTGAAAATTAACAACAGTAGTGTTTGCTTTTCTACCAGTTTGTTTGTGGCTTTCTTTGTGTATCTTCAGCAGCAAGTGCTGTAACTTCAAGATGCAAATTAAAAGCGAAGCGACAGATGAGCCAAATATAATGCACTTAAATTCAGCTGCCCCTCACCAAGTGACTCACATCCTCAATTTACGTTCGTTTCGATGTTTGCTCGGCTTTCGTTTGTTTTCCCTCACTCATTCTGTTATTTCTTCCCCTGTTCATTCATGAATAGGTGGACCGGGGGGATATGAGTGGGAAGGGGGCTACCTTATCGCCAAACATGTGACGACAATGCAAAGTCTTCCCATGAAGACTGTTCTCAAAAGAAACCTCTGTAGAACCGACTGCGTCAGTGGATCGAGCTCATAAGCACCATAAATCAAGCTCGATGATTCATCCAATCGAAATTTTTAATTTCTTTGGCAAATCCCGACCTTATTTGGGCATAGTATGTCCGGTTTAGGAGCAAATCGAATTTTAACAGATTCTGGGAATTTATTTGGAAGAAGTCTTAAGAACTAATCGAAAAATTCCCCAGCGATCTATATTTCATTAGAATACAAATTAAATAAACGTTGAAGAATCTTATAATTTGAAACCAGACCTACGTTATATGACTCATAAAATAGAAATGTATTTAATGTGTTCGGGAAAAATGAGGAATATATTGATCTACTACTGCTTTTTATTGAAGGCAGCATTAAATTTAGCATTGATACAATTTTCCCAGTAGTAAGCTGTTTTTACAAATGACTTTCAGAATAAATTCCAACCTTTTTTTTCGCTTTTGAGACCTCATTAACGTAATCTGCCACATCTTTCATATATTAATAAAAAGCTTGTTGAATGAATGAGTCGTCTTTATCTTTCGTTAGAGACTCACCTGGCTGATCAACTCTTACTTTTGGCGGTGTTTATATTTTGTTGACCAACTTAAGTTTCATAATTAAATTCAAGTTCAAAGACCTGCTAAAGTTGCTGCCATATATTTCTGTCAACATGTCTGAGGCAGACTTTTCCTTTTCGCCTTTCTTTTTTGGTTTTTGTGTTGGGTGTGCCTTGCCCTGCTAATGAAATAATTAAAAAATAGTTTTACTGCCGCTGGCAGGCGGGAAAAAAAGAGCATAACAAAAGCCATTAAAGTGTCAACTGCATTTGGTGAAAAAAAAACAAGGAAAAAGGCAGCTAAAAAAGGCAACCAAAAAAATGGTTTGCAGCTCTTAAATTTTGTGAAATTTCGTAGTCGAAGCGAAAAGAATGTCATGTGTGCGTGCCTGCATGCGAAAAGTGAAGTGGGGCGGCGGACTGGGCACCCGAGGGGGGCGTGGCAGTCACGGCATGCGAAATGTATCTATTAGATACACGCCTGCGAAATGCGGTTAACTGCATTGGCAGCCGACGCAGTTTTGCCATTTACCGTTAGCTGAAGTTGCAGTTGCAGTTGGTAGTACGACCGAAGCTGCACTTGTATCTGTATCTCGAGCCGCGTTTTGTATCTGAATCTCAAGTCTAAAGTTGCCCCCGTATCTGCATCTGCATCTGTATCTGTGAAGTAGAAGCCAGAGCCGAAGCTGAAGCTAAAGCTAAAGTATTTGGGTCACTCGTTGCCGCTTGGCTGCCACTCGAAGTCGTCTAATGCCTCCTCCAATGGCCATGGCGGGTTTTTCAACTTCTTCTTGACTGCTTTTTTCAGTTGGCAGTGCTTTTGGCTGATGCAAAGAGAGAACAGTATTTCGTATTCAGTTTTTTACGCTTCTCGGGCAGGGTATTATTTTGTTAAACAAAAGTCAGACCGCTGGAAAGAACCATTAAAGTACTTTTCTAGATTGGATAAAATGCATTCAGCGTCTGGTTATTGGATGTAGAAGATCTTTTTTAAAATTAAAATTATATTCTTGATTAAAAGGAGTTCTGGGAAAATTGTATTTAAAAGACAAAAAGGGAAAAAAAAGTATAAACAAAATAACCTTGATTCACAATGAAAAGAAATCAAATCAAATCATAAACTTTCATTAATGAG